TTCACTGGGTAATGAATCGATAACGGAGCACTATTCCCTCTCTGTCTTCTCTGCTCACTCTCATCTTATCCTTGTACACTCGATCCCTTTGACTCCTATCTCACTCTCACTCTACGATCTCTCACTCCGCAGACATCTCCATCTGCATACGGTGTATGCACTGTCTACTCCATGTCACGTCGACTATTACATGATGTCATGCTGTCTGCTCCCCGTGTATTCCATCTCTGTGAGTATGTGTGTCTGTTTATGTTTGCTGTCTGTGCATGTCAACTGCACACAGCGCGTGTAGGGTTGTCTGTGCGAGACGCAGTCGTTCCGTCGTGTTGTGTGGAGTGGAGCATTTTAGGCCAAGCGAAAGTCTGAGGTGGTGATTCAATGGTGGGGTGGTACGTGTTAGGTATACCTTTGCGTGGAATTAATTATACGTTTGTGATAGTAAAATGAGTACCTTCACGTGGTCACAGGTTTTTTTTTTTTTGCACTGGAAATTGCAGTTGATGGGTGGTATGAATTCTCTGTAAAGTTCACGTAATGTGATATGAAAAGGCGTCCATCTAATATGTGGAGTTGTTGCTTCTATTGGTTAATTTAGCAAAAAGATTTCAGTATCTTCTCGACTTTTTGTGTACTGGTTGTCAACTCGTAACGTAAGTTCGGAAGTTCTTGCACATATAATGGGAAAGGAAAAAACTCATATCAATATTGTCGTCATTGGACATGTCGATTCGGGTAAATCGACGACGACCGGCCATTTAATTTACAAATGTGGTGGTATCGATAAACGTACTATTGAAAAATTCGAAAAAGAAGCGCAAGAGATGGGCAAAGGTTCATTCAAGTATGCTTGGGTGTTGGACAAGTTGAAGGCGGAACGTGAACGTGGTATCACCATCGACATTGCCTTGTGGAAGTTCGAAACCTCCAAATACTATGTCACCATTATCGACGCTCCAGGACATCGTGATTTCATCAAGAATATGATTACTGGTATGTTTATTATAATTTCTTGAGATTGACATTTTTTTGTCCTTACTATCGAAATTTATTCTGTTACAATGATCACACGTGCCTTCTTTTGGTAATTATGCTGAGGCGAATAAAATTGAATATATGTAGAATATTAAACAAACAAATTTGCCTTATTTCAGGAACATCACAGGCCGACTGTGCTGTTTTGGTTGTTGCTTGTGGTACTGGTGAATTCGAAGCTGGTATCTCGAAAAATGGACAGACTCGGGAACATGCTTTGCTCGCTCAGACGCTTGGAGTGAAACAGCTGATAGTAGCATGTAACAAGATGGATTCAACTGAACCAGCTTTCTCCGAAGCTCGATTCAATGAGGTTAAAATCATTTCAGAAGTAGAGGGATTCAGCACTGAATGGTGGCTAATATTAATTTTGTGATTGTGGTAATGATATCACAGTTTTCCAATGTTTTAGGTTACAAATGAAGTTTCGAATTACATCAAGAAAATCGGTTACAATCCAAAAGCTGTTGCTTTTGTCCCGATCTCAGGTTTTAATGGCGACAATATGTTGGAACCATCTCCCAATATGCCATGGTTCAAGGGATGGAATGTTGAAAGGAAGGAAGGAAATGCTTCTGGCAAGACACTCCTGGAAGCTTTAGATGCTGTGATTCCACCATCAAGACCTACTGACAAACCCCTCAGATTGCCTTTGCAAGATGTGTACAAGATTGGAGGTACATCTTTTATTCATTCTCGCAATTTCGAGCGCAGGCTTAGTGCTATGCAATTTAATCCTTACGCGTTTTTATTGTTTCAGGCATTGGAACTGTACCTGTTGGTCGCGTCGAAACTGGTATCCTAAAACCAGGCATGGTGGTAACATTTGCACCACAGAATATTACCACTGAAGTAAAGTCAGTGGAGATGCATCATGAAGCTTTGCAAGAAGCACTTCCTGGTGATAACGTTGGTTTCAATGTTAAGAACGTGTCTATCAAGGAAATTCGACGTGGTTCGGTTGCTTCCGATTCCAAGAATGACCCCGCCAAGGAAACCAAGCAGTTTACTGCGCAGGTAAACAGAATTGTTTTTGTAGGGAATATTACTCTGTTACATGAAATACAGTAAATCCTTAATCGTATCACATTTTTTAGGTCATTATCATGAATCATCCGGGTCAGATTGCTGCAGGATACACTCCAGTCCTTGACTGTCATACAGCTCATATTGCTTGTAAATTCGCAGAACTTAAAGAAAAGGTCGACAGGCGATCCGGCAAGAAAGTGGAAGATAATCCAAAAGTAAGTTTGTTTCCAGGGAATTTTTTGAACTAATGGCTATCTGATTAAGGTTATTAGAGAGTTTCCATAACTTGTTACTTCTCTTAGCGGAATATAGGATTTCATTTTAAAATTTGTAGTTCCTGAAGTCGGGCGATGCTGGTATTATTGATCTGATTCCAACAAAACCGCTGTGTGTTGAAACGTTCACCGAATACCCACCACTTGGACGATTCGCTGTGCGTGACATGCGACAAACGGTGGCAGTTGGTGTTATCAAAGGTGTTGAAAAGACGGAAGGTGGTGCCGGGAAAGTGACGAAGGCAGCGCAGAAGGCTGGAACGGCACCAGCTGCAAAGAAGAAATAATTTTTAAGAAGGGGGGTTTATGAAGGCGAAGTCGTTAGATATTATTACCCATACGTTAACTTGTTATTGATGGAAGGAAAATTTTTTATCTCGTGGGTTGGATGGTGCTTTCTTCTGAATATGATTCAACAGCTTCGTTAAAATTAGTATGATTTCTTTAAAATCTTTAGCAAGAAATTATCTTTGAATTTTGGCAATGTTTGTTGTTATTACATCGTTATGTTTAATGGAAGTGGTAAAACATTTGTATTTCATTAAATTGCCTTGGCTTATGTTTGAAATGTTGGACCGTCATCGATTATTCGTTTCTTTTGTTGATAAAATTATGATTTTGGGGTTTTGCAAGCATTGGTGCAGATGCTGATTGTAGCAAAAACATGATATTGGTGTTGAGAAAGGCAATATGATATTGCAGTGTTTCTGACCTTCATATTATTGAAGAACAGCTTTCATCCATGCTAGGCACCCGGTCGCCTTGTGATATGTAATAGTGAGGTGGGCTTGTGGTTTCAAAAATTCTGGGGCGTTTTTAGCTAGATGTTTTATCTGTGTATTTTGGTGGTATATTTTGGGAGGTGGTTAAGCTTGTGGTCGTGATGTGCGCTTTCCAGATTTACACTGAGGAATTGCTGGTACTTTTCAAGGATGCTAAAGCAAAAAAAGCTGGATGAGGCGCTGAGAGCAGGTGCAGATGGAAGACGTGTTAATGTGGATAAGGTGTGTACAGTTCTTAATTTCTATTGAAAGGCCTCATCTTGTCATTCTGTACTGGCGAAGTTAGTCGCATTGGTTTTGAGTTCCGGAATTTTTTCCAAGAATCAGGTAGCAAAGTTCGCTTTAATATTAGTGTGCAACATCAAAATGTGACATTCCAGTTGATGGCTTCAACGGTCCATACTTTGATCAATTATAACATCGAATTCACTCCAGCTAGCACTTCCCAGGACACAATACGAAATGGCAGTCTGAAGTAATATTTAGTTTGTTTGTAGATTCGTTCGATCCAAAAAAAAAAGTTACTCATACGGTGAAAAGGCTGGATTATTCAGGAATGGGCAGTGTCTACACTTGAAACAAAAAGCGCCTAATAGAGGGGTTGTGATTTGATTTTGTTCTCCAAATTCCAAAATTTATATAGTACAAGATACAAGGGTATGGGTATATGCAAAAAAATATATCCCTTACGGATCTATAAGTTCCTGCGACTTTTTAAATGCATTTTCTATTTCAGTATTACTATAAATTTAACCTTCTTTATATCTGAATCACCTTGAAACATATTGAAATGAAAATTTGCTTATTTTGCAGGTATATTCTCCTTAAACCAGAAAATGAGCCGACAAGAAAGAAAAACATAACTAATAATGTTCAGTCAAAAAAAAGTACGGCGAAATCCGGATTTTGTAAATTTCATCGTAAAGAACACAACAATGAAGTGTCAGTTATTATATATTTTGCAATTATTTGATATTATATAGGGTTTATTGGATCAGCTAACTATTTCAGTAATTCTTAATGTTTAGTGGAGTGTTTCAATATTAATGACTGTTATCTATTACTTATGTGAATAGATATTTATGTAGAGATAGTTTTTACAAAAACTGGTGTAAGACTCGTTAGCACCATAACAGGCTTATAATATTGTTGAGACATAATTCAGTCTTTTTTTTTTTAAATTATGTTATAGGTGATGCGTAGGAAGTTTGAAGTATATACAATTTAGTAAGAAGGAATTTCGGGAATCGGAAATATATACAAAATAATGAACATTGAGAAAAGTGCACTTCAATCAGCTATCGGTTATTTGATTGTCTAATTTTCAAATGTATTTGCAGAAAACAAAGTAGAGAAAAGAGAAAATCCATTAAGAAGAAGTGGCCAAGCACGATTCAAAAATGTCAGCAGAAAAAACGACGCAAAATAAACAAAAGTTGATGCTTGCGGCATAAGTTAATCATTAATCTACTAGGGATTATTTTCTCCTATGTTTGCAACATTTGCTCCGTTAAAATATGGATGTCCAGCATAGCTATTCGAGTTACGTCTGTCTAAAGTTTATTTCATAGACGTTTAATTGTTTTAGAGTTATTCTTCATTAATTTCACTTTCCCTTTCTCTTGATCTGTCATGTTGATTGGATCAATGATTTTAGGGATTGCTCTGCTATCATTCATTCATCATTTCGCTGCAAAACATATGCTACTGCCCTATGAAGCATTTAAATAGATTTGTTGATATTCCATCTTATTGCTTCTTGCATATCATAATGAGATTTTAAAGTTATACTTTGTAGGAATTAATTTTGCTATTGCAACCAATAAATGAAGTTATTGAGATTAACATTTTTGCTTCATCTCAATATTATTACTATATAGTTTTAATGTGCAATCATTGTATATTGTTCCTCAAAAGCATCGGGAATAGCTTCATGTGGTGCTCGATTAGGAATATAAGTGCCGAAAAGTATAGTGCATATGAGCTGATTGTACATGGAATTTATTGGCAGTGCTATGTGATCGTGAGCTGACGCATAGTCGCTTCGATCTGTAATAAAATAATCATCAGTTATGTGAATGTTTATGGTTTATTTAGATTATTAAAATTAATTGAATTTCCTAATGCTCCACGTCCAATTATTCATAATTTCAATCTCATTTAAAATGACGAAAATTGTCATTTATTTACTTAAAAATTGAGCAAATCTGTGTTTATGATATGTGAACAAGCCTAAAGTATTATATTTTGTGACAGATCAGTGATTTTGCCTTTATTTTTCGGCAGTTTTGGAGGAGTGCTATGGAAAGTGCAATTACTTATTTTAAAGTAGTAAAAGAGAATTTCACAACATAAACAAATGATAATTTCGTATAAAAATAAAATGAGATATCCGTATTACATATATTTTTTGAGGTTACTTGAAATGTTAAAACACAATATATGTAATTAAGGGACGATAAAGAAAAGGCTAAAATTATTCAGCAAATCAATCTCCTTCATCACTTTTTTTATTTAGATTTTTCAAAATAAAAATTTCATAAATTATAACGGAAGTTTTTGATCGAAATAAGAGTTGCTCTGAACTCCTATGATAAAATGACCAAATTTTATGAGGGTATTCAAGTTTTGAAATTGCAGCTTTTCAAGGTTTTGAAAATCCAAAAATTAATAAATGCTTTACAATCAATTTATAAAAATATGTGATATTCAATGAGTTACAATGGTATAATGCAATGATGCATCTCATCATTATTTTTATAGTGTTATTATTATTATTATTGTTGTTGTTGTTAAATAGTGTTATTTTATTTTTATATTATATTGTTTTTATTTTTAAATAATATATGCTTACAATAGCCTTTTCCTAATAATCGTTGCAAATTTGCAAATGTAAAGCCGATAGCAACAATTGTTGAAAATAAATAAATGAAATCAAATTGTTGATAAAAAATACCATATACAATGCATAACAATGTTGCTGAACATATCGGATAAGATAAGAATTTTCGGCGGTTTTGACCAATTTTTGGACAAATAAACTGTAAGAAAAAAAAACAAAACTCATTTGATTAAGACTTATAATTATATGTTTCAAATGGAATTTGTGATTTTGATCGAATTCAAGTTCAAAAGTTTTTAGAAAAACTTACATATTTATTTTAATAAATAAAATGTTTTGAAAAAGATTTTACATGTTCATCCTCGAAAATTTCTTCTGCCAATAATATTACTTATTAACCAAAAAGAAAAAAAAAAAAAAAAGAAAAATCCAAATCTTTCGAACACAAAATTCTCTAAATTTGAGTTTCAAATTCTATCAAAAAAGAGAGACTATTATTACAGGTATTATTGACCTCAACAACAAATGCTACCACAAATGGTGAATAATATGGCGGTACAGGTAGGATAGGTTGTTGCCATTTTAAATATAATTGATGTGTACCTGCTCCTATCATAAATGATAATATTAGAGCGCAAAATCTTCGTTCTGATAAACCGAATGTTTGCTATAAAATAATAATATTTTCATAAATATTATAATTTTTTTCTGTAATCTTTTAAATTGTCAACTTAAGTTTTTTTTTATTTGAAAGTTTAATTTTAAATTTTAAACAAAAGAGAAGAAAAAAGATTTTAATTTTGTCTGAGAATTTACCATTGATATTTTACGATGTAAAAGAAATGCTAATTTTGGTAGTAAAATATGCAAAAAAATAAAAGATAGCATATTGCTTGCTGCAAATTTTGATAGTATTACATGACCAATGTAAGAATTGGCAAAATTTTCACCATAACATTTTGCATTAATAATAATATAATCCCAGAAATTACTACTAAAATAATATTTTATATTATTAAAATTTAAATTAAAACAAAATAATTGAAATCTTGTCAAATTTTAATTTCATTCATTTATTACAGTAAGTTTGAAATTTAATTTATCCACCATCTTTAGATTACGCAAATAAATTTTCAACTGTAAATAATTTGATGTTATGTAAGTTTTGGTGATCCTTCTCTTTTTTAATTAGCTTTCTCGTTTAATGAATAAAATAAATCTTCCGAGAAGTCACTAGATGATATATTGGAGATAGAAGAAGAGATAAAGGATGATAATACTTTGAGCTTATCACTTTATCATTATTTGATATTATAAATGATTTGGAATAGGTATAAATTTAAAATTTTAATTTCATAAATCAACTTTCAGTTTTTCTTTTTTTTGTTTTTATCAAAACTCACATCGTCAAAAATGAATAATCAAAATCATTTGGTATTGGTCCCAAATCAAAGAAGTGTTTGAATTCCTGAACTGATGATTCGACAACATTTTTAGGAAATTGAGTAATTTTCATGATCCATGATCGGATCAATGTCTTACTCAATCGATAAGTTATCAATCCAATATCACAAATGGTTTCTTTGAAATCATTTAAATATATTTGTAAAACATTTGCTACACATTGATTTTGTAGCAATTTTTCTTCACTGTTGCACATCTTTGCCTTAATTTTAAACTATTTTAATAATTTGTATGACAAGATGAATAACTTATTAACTTAATAAATATATTGTAATAAATTAAATATAATAAAATGGTATTTACCAAAATTAAATTACCTAAACTTTATTTGATATAATCAAACATTTTCGTTTACTCAAATTACAATGATGCAAAGCATATTAAAATTTTTTTAAAAATATTTGGTAAAAAATTAATATGCAAAATTTATCAAACACAAATTTACTTAAATAGTTACAAATTTCTAAATATCTTTTAGTTATTGTAATTTACAGTTTGTAAATAGTTGCTAAATTTTTGCATTTAATACTTTGCTAATTTTGATCAAAAAATTAGAATGAAAAATGAAAAAAAGAAGTTTTCACGAGAGATTGCTGTTCCATTGAAAGAAAACTCTGATATTTCTCGATCACTAAAGATATCAATGAATTCTGAAACTGAAATAACTAATGAAATAATAAATCAGGAATTACGTGATATTATTCAAATGAATGAGGAAAGTTTGTTCGATTCACTTAAGTCAATTGAAGCTGTTTTTCGATAGTTTGTTTTTGATTACTTTATATTTAATAAATTTTACTCATCAGTTAGTCATTAATTTCAGATATTTATTAATTAGCTTATATTCTGATTAATTTAATCACTGATTTTCCTTTTGTTAGGTCTCATAAATCTAAATGAAAAATAGAAGTAATAAATTATTGCCTTATTTTAAAATTTAATAAAAGTTATCATAAAATACCAGCAAAATTCTAAGCATTGTTACGTACTAATCAAATTCTTATGTCATAATATATCGGTGACGTAAAAGAGAAAAGAAAATTAACTGAAGAAAAGAAAATCCAACATTAAAACCTGAGATCGGGACAAAAGCAACAGCTTTTGGATTGTAACCGATTTTCTTGATGTAATTCAAAACTTCATTTGTAACCTAAAACATTGGAAAACTGTGATATCATTACCACAATCACAAAATTAATATTAGCCACCATTCAGTGCTGAATCCCTTTACTTTTGAAATGATTTTAACCTCATTGAATCGAGCTTCGGAGAAAGCTGGTTCAGTGCAGAGGAGAAAGAAAGAAAGAGCTTCAGTTAAAGATAATTAAATCAAACAAATTAAACATTTTTTATTTTTAGCTTAATTTAATCTTTATTTATTTATTTTTTGTATGTGTTTGTACTTCAGTCAATATAGCAGTGAAATAATCGATGGAACTTTTATACTAATCAATGAAATTATCATTTTTTTTATTAATTTACGCATTAGCATATGGCCAATGCTTAAAAAATATCCAATGACATTGTATCAAACTCAAATTGAAAAATTGCAAAAATGTTTTCAATTTACGCCAATTTCAAATTCTTTCAATTTCACTTCTTGCATGGTGTTAGTTTTGATTTTATTTGAAAATTTAACAAATGTATGAACATGTATGATTTTACAGAGCAAAAAAGAATTTAATGTGAAAAATTCAATATATCTTGAAGAATGTATATACCTGAATGAATTCAAATAGTAAATATAAACAACTCTTCATGATGATGATTATCATTACAATGATGAGGATTGCTATAATAATGATAACGATAAAGGATGATGATGATGATGTTGTTGATTGGTGATAGTGATGTTGATAATGTCAGCTGATGATGATAATGATAATGCCGACACTGTAACCTAGTGGAACCATTAGGAAAAGAGAAAAGATAAAAAAATTGGAAATTTATGTAAATGAAATATATCATTTGATAGTTTTAAATGATAAAATTGAATTCTTTTTAGAAGTCAATTTTGGGCAATTATAATTATAGCAGCAAAATGTTACGGTGAAATATTTGCAAATATGTGGATTGGCTATTATTTGTTATCATTATTTTTGAGAAAGGAAATTCCATCTTTATTTTTCATTTATATTGCGATGCCATTATTTGCATACTTAACGAATCAAAAAATTCCAGTGGTGAATTACTTGCAGCAATTAGTTATTTAATTAATTAAGTAATTGATCATTTAGTGTAACTAATTAATTATTCAATCATTTTATTATACAAATTAATACAATTTACCAATCAAACGCTTCATTTCTTTGATAGATTATTATGTTACAACATTCAAAAAGTATTACTTTTTTGTTAAATTTGGAAAATTTTGATGATTATTCAAAATTTTACGAAAAATTGCGGAAAAATTTATGTATTTAAAAATATTGTTGTTCATATAATTTAGAGTAAATTAAGCTTAGCAGAACGTCGTTGGCTTATTTTGGTATTTTCATTTTGGATTGGTGCATCAACACATGTCATTTTAATTAATTGGGATCGTGGCGTATTTCCACCGCCACCATTTTATTCGCCAACGCTTGTAGCATTACTTTTTGAGGTAACATAAATTAGAAATTTAAGAAATTCAATGTAAACTGTAAAAAAATTGACGATTAAAAACATTTTTAGTTTATTTTTGGAAAATTTTTTTTTTCAAAATTTGAAAACACTCAAAATATTTTCAGTTTATTGGTCCAATGGTAGCTTATGATCGATCGTTACTTCTTTTAAATACCATTGGTATTGCAACACTCGTATGCTTCACGTATGCATATGTTTATGCTTGTTTCACGTTCACGTATTTTTATACCTCTCTGATTGCAATTGCTTCATCATTTTATAGTATGCAACAGCATCTTGCTGATCCAAAATTAGGTTTTTTTTTTTGATTCATAGTTATATACTCAAATTTGAAAATAGAAACCATTTCGATTACTCTAACTATTGTTAATTTCGATTATAGAATTTGACTTTTTCTGACTCATTTTCCATTTTTAATAATAGTTTATCGTTTTGTTTTTTAATAATTCCAAACATTACATCATAAATTAGATCCAAGAAATATTCACTTATTATTGATTGATTCAATAAAATACATTTACAATGCTAATAACTCTATGATATTAATAGTTTGTATAAAAAAGCTTGCAGCTATTAAATTCATTTTCAATATTTATTTCAATTTAGCTACTAATTTGATTGCAAATTACTACTCTAAGATAATTAAATAAAACTAAATGAAATTTAACGAAACAAAGAAAAAAAAATCATTCTTAATTCATATTAATATTATAAAAAATATTTTTTTTTTCATTTTATGTCGTGGTGACATGACTGAAGGATATGTGTTACTACCAATTCAGTCAATGTACAATCAGTTAGCAATAACACTTATATTTGGCCATTATCACTGGAATCGTAATCCGAATTCAATTAAACCGGATTCATTGGAAGAACGATATACATTACTATTACGTCAATTTCATTAATTATTTGAAGATAAAAGAAAATGTAATCATATCCATATTAATACTATAAAACAATTTACAATAAAATTTTTATTCCAAATACGAAAAAATTTTAAAAATATTCTCCACTAAATCATACATTTATCATGAAGAAAAAAAGAAAAATATAAAAATTGAAAATTTCTTTTAACATAAATTTTTTAAACAGAATGAATTATTTACGACATAAATTATTAGTTTTATCATGATTAAGTATTGATTATCATTTGTAATATTATTGTATTAGTGTCTTTTTCATTCTCTCTCTCTCTCTCTCTCTTTCTCTCTTTTCTCTTTTCTTCCTTAATAAAATTTTAAAATTAACAATTTTCACTTGGCTAATGTTGAGCAAAAGAAACATAATAACACACTAAAAATGGGAAATAAACGGAAGAGCGTCCAAAATATGTTAAACCTTTGTGATAAGATTAAGTACAAAAAAATTCATGATAATTCATGATAAAAATTCATGATAAAAAGCAAGTATAATTGCTATACCAACTATAATCGTGATTTTCATAATTATTATTGCGGAAAGAATAAAGAAACTAGCGATTATTGGGGCAGAAAAAGGTTGAGAAATGTTGAAAACACCACTCTTTTAATAGATTTATTTTCTCACTTTTCTTTTCCATTTTACTTTGAAACAAAAATTAGATGCAAATTTGGTTTTATAATTTTCTTTTTTTTTTATTATTATTTTAATCATTGTGTTTTGGATAAAAGGCATGAAAATAATCATAGTAACGGAAAGGTTAAATTAAATTTGCATTAATTAATCAATGATATAAATATTTGGGTGAATTTAAACCATTTCAGTGGTATTAGAAAATTTCCTAATGAAATTAAAAGATTCTTTTGCTTCCTCAAATCAGAATTACATTATCCTATTTTATATATAGGATTCTACATTTTTTTTTTTTATTTAAATATGATTATCGTGTGAATTATTTATGTGAAACGTAATGAAAAAGATTAATTAAGTTAGTGAAATGTGTATTTGAATGATCGAAAACAATCGGAAACAGAATTAGTTGACCTTTTCAAAGTTTATTGTCCAATCAGAAATGAGATAGTCTCGAAAGGTAACAATATGCTCATTGCAACATTTGCTGCAATGAATGACCACTGACCAAAACAAGCGGCAAATATCCTTTTATTTCTTTTAATTGTTAATAATAATTGTCTAAACTAAGTTTCAACTCGCAGTAAAAGTTACACCACAAACAAATGCATGTCGGGAAATGTTGCAAGTTAGTTGCAGTAAGTAGTGTCAAGGATTAATGTGGCCCTTACGTTCAGTGATGAAAATAAAGTTGAGCGTACCTTGCTTTGCTGTTTCATTGTCACGTGCGCTGCAGTCAGGAAGAGTTATGGAGGCAATTAAATCAGAACTTAACCTTGGTAGCATCAAAGAATTACCAATTAGATTTAGTGGCGGATGTATTAATAGAGCTAAAGCATATAGCACTGATGAATATGGTGATATTTTTGTGAAATTTAATGATAACGAAAAGGTTAGCACTTCGAATTTTTTTTTTTTAATTCTTTTCTCATCCATTTATTTCCCTAATTGTTGTGTTGCATTATTAATTGTGCACAAAAATACTGATATTTCTACAACACAATTAATGAAATGTTACTTTTTTTTTCTTGAAAAAATTCAAATTGTCAAATAGCATAAATTTGGATGAAATTTTTATTAATAAAAATAAATAGCACTGATGAGAATTTTATTTAAAGTCATAATTAGCAAATATCATTTCTCTATTTAATTACATATAATTTTTATGGTTTTTATTCATCTGAAACTGTATAAAGCAGAAGTCATAAATTTTTATATTTTAAGAAACTTGTGCTGTGAAATAAATCTTCTAGGCTCAGGAGATCTTTGATGGTGAATTTGCAAGTTTACAAGCATTGTTAAATACGAATGCAATTAGAGTACCGAAACCAATCAAGGTAGCAGCAGTTAGTAGTTGTGGTGAACAAATGTTTGATTAAATCCAGAATGTGATTTTATCTTGCTAGAATTTCTTGTATATTCAAATCATGAAACTATTTATTAGCTTAAAAAGTTTAGTTCTGATGATAATAGGTATGACCAAGCATTGTAATGAGTTCTAATGATCTTTTCTATCTTATACAGTAATTTCAAATTAATTTCTTCCATTAATTCGAAATTAATGAATCAGCAGTAAGCTATGGCTATTTTGTTACTTTTTAATGGCTACTTTGTTAACCTTCTCCAGAAACATAAATAGGTTTTTCAAAAACATTCTATATTGAAATAAGCCAGCATGCATGACTGTTCATGATGAAATTTATGGATTGATAGGATTAGAATTTTAACTATAAATTTATTCATTGCCGATTGTATCACTTTTTTTTTGCTTTATAAACATTATATAAATTTTAATGTCAGAGATTTTCGATAGATGGTGATTTCTGCTTAGCAATGGAATTGTTGGATATGCATGGTCCATCAGATTATGAGAAGCTTGGTACCAGTATTGCAAAGTTATTTTCTTGTATTGCACATAAATACTATTTTTACTTTCTTTTATTAATAAATTGTTTAATTTTGAATGATTTATTTAGTTTATAGAACTTAATTTCATGGATCAAAGAACAGTAGATTGTTTCATCGCCCAGTTTCATCCACTAAAAAAATAGAATTTGTTTGAGAAAACATATGATTCTTCAAAAACTCAGACTACTAAAGATGTTAATTCACAGTCAGGATGAATTAACTAAAAAAAATGAAGAAGAAATGAATGAAGCTGAGTAATAAAAAATTTTGGACCTTTATCGCACAAATGTGGGTCTTATCAACGAAATGACCATTTGTCATCATAAAAAGATGAGATCTTCAAACATAACATTTTCTTCTAGAAGTTAAAATGTATCTTTTATAAATTATGCTAGATGGAAAATATCCTCGAAGCAATAAATTACTTCTCCGAGAAATGGTTAAGGTTTTATGAATAATTGAGGTTAAGATATTAAGGCAAACTGATAATAAATTTCAGGTGAAAAAAGCCTTAATTACTAATTCTAGATACTCATGAATATTTCAGATTGCATTTACATAATCAATTCTTAATGGAAGCAAATAAAAAGACTCAGTCAACAATTGGTGGTATTGACAAACAATCGGAACCAATTGAGAAATTCGGATTTTCTGTACTTACATACAGTGGATATTGCCCACTTATTAATGATTGGTCAGATAATTGGGTGGTAAGTATTGTTTTTCTTTTTTTTTTTTTCGTACATTTCTGGCATATATGAAATAATTTTCCAAGAATATATGAATATGTAGGAGAATTATCAATTGAAAATATCAAACAATTCGCGCGCGCTTTTTTAAAAAAGCTCATTGGTAGAAAGTGTTAAATGATCAGTATTATTCGTAATTATTCGTTATCATTTGATTGAACACATTTTCACGTGAAAGTTTGGTTAAATACTACATATGGTTTTAGAAGGATTGCTTAAAAAAGAATATGTCATCATTTTATTTCATCTAATGAATGCTTATTTTAGGAATTTTATTCACGGAATCGACTGAAGAAAGTTATTGATATCGTTCTTGAGGTCAAATCATTTGATAAAAAAACAAATAGTTTATTTTCTTTTTCTTAAATATATAATCTTACAGTCATAATTTTAAGAAAACGAAGTTATTGTAGAAAACCGGTGATAGGGAATTATTAACTTTATGGCCAAGACTGGAACGGAAAATTCCCGAATATTTCAAAAATTGTGATATATATCCATGCTTATTACATGGTGATCTCTGGTCTGGAAATTATTCGTTTACTAAGGATGGTCCAGGTTAGATCTGTCTCATAGATAATACGTTCGTTTTTACTAATAATTTAATCCAGTCAGTAATATAAAATATGATTAATATTGTATTTTTCCGATTGTATCAGCAAAAACTTTTAATTGCTTTTGAAGAGATTGACTCAGAATTTCATGAAACGAGGAGCAGTTTTTTTTTTTTGTAATTTTTGAAAATTTGCAAAGTTACAGTAGTGTTTGATCCGGCATCTTTCTACGGGCATAGCGAATATGAGTTTGGCATTTTGACTATGTTTGGTGGCTTTCATCAATCTTTTCATACAGCGTATCACAAACTGATACCACAAACTGCAGGATTCACCGAACGTGTCCTTCTTTATCAGCTCTTTCATCATTTAAATCATTGGTTGTATTTTTTGTTCTAATTTTCATTTCCTCTATGAGAAAAATGAATTTTGAGCATTTCTTATTAGAGAAATAGCAACCACTAATTGTTGGAGAATAAAATTTTGGTTTGCTAAAAACGAAATTGTAATTCTGATATTCGTACAATGATCATTTATTGAAAAGAAAAAAGGTTAGCTCTATGATTTTTGGCTAATAAAATTTCTATGAATGACAAGATTATTATCAATGAATTCAAATCCTCCTTGATATTTCCAAATTAAATTTTCCTTCATTATTGAATCAAATAGCTAATTCACAATACATTTATTGAATATTCATTCTATCTACCAAAGAAGATTATATGAACAATATCGAATAATGATAAGTTATCGAGATTCTAAATAACAATCATTTTGTTAAAATTAGAAAGGCATTGCTGATTGATTTTCTTTTTATCTTTTTTTCTCATTTTTTATCTATTATTGATTTTTTTTTCTCTTTGCAGGAATCACTTTGGTACTGGATATAAACATGGTGCATTAAGCTTAATGCGAAAACTTTTATAAAAAAAGGACGGAATTGTAGAAAATAAGAAAGCAAAAGGACGAATTTTTTATTTATTTCATTTTAAGATGTTTTTGCATAAACTTTTGGCTGATTGATATTAAAATTTATATAAAATTATTTTTGAAATTCGTATTTCTAATGATATATTTTAAAAGTAATTTAGCCAAGGAATAAAAGAAATTGATAAGCTTCTTTGACATACTTCACAATTTTCAACAATTTGCTGGCTAGAAACGCTCGTAGAACAAAAAAAAAAAAAAAAAAAACAGAAAAAACAGAAAAATGACTGATATTATTGTTATACCTTATTTTACTACATTTTCTATGAATTTATGGTTATCATTACATCAATGTTTTTGAGACTGAGAAATTATTTGTTGTGTACTGAAGAATGTGAGTAAGTGAAAATTGTCAATTTTGAAATTTTATTAAGATTAATCGGGGGAAAGGGAGAGGGAAAGAGAAAAAACGATTAATTCAATGCTATTACAAATGATAACCATGAAGCAGACTATGAATAAGTTCTGTAATTCGAATCACATTAAACAGATCAAATTGAACCCGGTAAATTTGATTTAATCATTCCAATCAATTTGGATGCTTTAACAATTCCATGTTTGCGAATATTTTTTTAATTTACTACCATTTACTGCTTAGTTACAATCGTTAACTATCATGAATACTTGATATTGTAAAATCATATGATTTCAGTTGTACATTAGAATTTAAAAAGTATAAATTTCCTTTTAGCAACCTTGAAAATTTTCGTTAATTTTAGCTTGAATAATTGGTTGTGTATTTCAGTTAATCCTTAAATTCTCAACTTTTTTATTTTTATTTTGATTATGAAAAGACGAAAAAAAAGAAATGAAATGAGAGAGGAGAATAAAATTGAAGGAAATATCAATGAGAGAGAGTGAGAGAGAGAGAGGGAGGGAGCAAAGAAGAGTTGAAATAAAATGAGCATTAAAAGCAATTTCTATAAATAACAAGCATAAAGTGCGTCATGTTCTATCATTTATTCTCTCTTTTTTTCTTTTCACTTTTTTCTTTTCAAATTCTATTCCAATTTAAATTAAATTCAAATTTAGTTGTCGAATAAAAATAATCGAATGGTTATTTGAAAAGGACAGAGAAAGGGGAAAAAGAACTGAATCATTAGGAGGGAGAGAGGGAGGGAGAAAGTTGTATATAATAATTCTAGTATTTTTATTTTTCTGCTTTATTAACTTTACTTCATCTTTACCACTATAATATAATGTGTTAGTATCTAAAAGTAATCTAAACAAATAATTCGATAAAAAGAAGATAAAGCTAATATGCAGATTACTTACTTACTTCCATTGCTATCATTTCATATCAGTTCACTTACTTATACTTTAGCTAAACGAAATCTATTTATCGATCATTTCTGCTCAAGTTTTTTTTCCTTCTTCTCTTCTCTTTCTTTTTCCATTTATTCATTCTTTTTTCTTTCATTCTTACTTTCTTTCTTTTCATCACTACGAATTATGTTTGCTTCAATAAATAACAAATAGGAAAAGATGAAGAAAGATAAGTTTTATGATGTCAGAAGAGACATCATGTCCCCTACTAGCATTAAATTGATTGTCACAAAAGCTTTTTGTCGCATATATTTGTTGTTGTCTATTATTATTTACTTCAAAATTTTCTTTCATATGTTACGAGGGAAAAAAAGCTAATAAAGTTGCAAAAAACTTTTTTTTTTTTTCTACTATTTTCTACTAAGGAAATCTCTAAGCCAAAATTGCTTCAATTTTAATGTTTGAAATTTCTTTTTTTTTGATTTTTAAATATCTTTTCCTTAATAAAGTGTATATATATAAGCTTTTTTTGCTTGAATAAGATTAATTATATTTTAAAAGATATAATTTTTGTTCTACAAATCAAATTATTTAATTAAAAGATATTCAAAATACAGAAATGTTAAAATGGTTGAGAAGATTCAGGAGCAAGTTTTCAATCCCATTTATATTTAAATTTAAAACTTCACTTCATGTGACTTATTATGATATGAAATCATATCAGCGATATAATTTTTTTTCCTAAAACAGTAGCAAAAGTCCTCCACGGAAGAAGCTAATATAACTCATAAATCTATAAAGGAATAAACCATAAAGATCAAAGGTTGCAGCATAATTTGTATTTTACTTAATTTGGAGATGATAATAACAGTGATAACGATGATGATAATAAGTTATGTAGGGATTATTGATTGCATGTTTAGTTTATTTTTACTTTTTTTTATTTTCATTTTTGTATCACATGCTGCCTTCATTGACAGACACTTCAATTCTCTCATTTCCTCTCTAAATATTATCATTATCAAATTTTCTCACTGAATAAGATGAATTAATAAATTCAAATGCAAGCATTCAGAAAGAAAGAGAAAATAAAAATGCCATACTTTTGTTTTTTTTTTTTAACTTTTGTTTTTTTTTTTTTTAAATTGAAATAAAGATAAAGTAATTGCTAAATGCCAATACAAAGAAAGTTGAAAAAACTTATACTTAACGAATCATCAATCACTGCTCATTAGTATCGGAATAACTGCTAATAAAACGAAATATGATATTACGTTAAAGGGTTGAATTTTAAATTAAAATTGAAAATATACCGCTAACCCTCTTCACCTATAATATTTTTGAACTTCACAATCCTTATCAACTCATATCACATCTCACTAACCTCTCTTTTAGCAATTTGTTCCTTAACCGGTTACGACTTATTTTAGTTTCCTTTTTTCTTTGGTTTTATAAATTGTGAAATTTAATGTTTTCACTTCACTTCTTTCTTCTGCACTTAATTTTATCAATTTTTCCTTCATCTCATTTCCTCCATTCTCCTTCATATTTCGCAGTCTTTTATTTCTCTAATTTTACTTTAACTTTTCGTATTTTGTTTCAATCCTTATTTCATTTTTTTCATTACATTTTTTCTTTTTTTATTTCATTTGTTTTTATTTTTTTTTTATTTCATCTGACATCTTCTAACTTTTGCTTTTTTATCGTAATATTTGTTCAAGGAAAGCATTTTGGTCAGATTTATTAGAAATTAGCTAAAAGACATGTGAAAGTTTATACGAAATTGTGAAAAATATAAATTATGCAGTTACTTTTCATTAGTTTGTTTTCTTAAATCATAGGATCAAAGATGACGGTAAAAATGAGAGTTCGGAAATGTCCCACAGATGATTTGGCACTAACAAATTGCGCAATTGTGAATGCTGGTGCGCTAAATGGAATGGAAATTAAGTGAGTGATGTCATCTTTTCATTTGTCAGTACAACTATGAAGAGACTGTTGAGTAATGGCAGATATAATTGATAGCCGAACGATCATCAACAATCATAGTTTAGTGAAGCGCATATTTGTTCACTCATCAGAAAGAAAAAAATGCTGCAGTTGATGATATAAAAATGTCTGTATTATATTTAAATAATTGTATATGTAATGAAATTGATTAGAAATTGAGATTTTTTTTTTATTTTTGTAAGAGTGGCATGATTTATTTGATAATGAAAATTAGAAAAGGACATGGTGGAATCGAATGGAAAATGAGGAATAGAAGAATTAACATCTGAAAATATTCATTTTGTTGCTGTTTAATTTACTTAGACATCTATTGGTGAAGACCGGTCCAGCTCATCACTTCGTTTTTTCTGTTCGGAATCATCCATCGTTGAAGGTTGATGAGATAGCTTTTGCTTTATCTCAGCGTAAATGGGCTAAACTATCATTGGATCAAGAAGTGGAAGTACAACAATTCACTTTCAATAACAATCAGTTCATCGGGTCAATTACTGTTGCTGCTGATTTCCAGTCAAAGAAAAAGTAAGCTTATTCCATTGAAAAATTCTTGGAAATTTAAAATTGCTCGGATTACTTGATCATTATTTTATTCATCGTTAAGAACCTCGTAAAATTTGAACCTTGTGTCCTGCAGTTTTTGTTCTTTTTTTTACTGCATATCACATCACAGTTATTTTTTTTTTTTTGTTATAATTTTATGTTTTAAGATACCAACGTTTTATTATTTCTCATAATTCTTATCACTAATTTTATCATTTCTGATAATTTTAATTGTATCATGATATCATTGACTGCTATTATTTTTATTCATATGCAAAGTAACTTTTTAGTCACTGTTCTCTAGTCATTGTTTCCTGTCAAAATGTTTGCATTTTCATCTTCCTGTCATAGTTTATATAACTTTACTTTCATGATAAACTAAGCTTTTAATAGATAGATTAAGGTGATGGTTAGTTTTTACTAGTTCTCTTTTTTATTTAAATTGTTAATTCTGTATTTTCAATTATATTTTTAATATTTTACTATAAATTCACATATTAGAAAAACTGGAAAATTTCGTTGTATTATTGTTTCAGTCAAACATCTGAACCATTAAATACAGACTTTATGGCCCGTGAATTCTCTATCCAGTTCTCTGGTCACGCATTTACACGTGGTGAATTATTGGTGTTTAAATTTGATGACGATAAAGGGAAATCTTATACTCTGGCTTTAACAGTGACATCAATACTCGGTAAGTAAATGTGAATTTATTTAAACATCGGTTTAAGTAATTTCATCACCTTACTGTGCAAGAAAATGAGATGAATCTTCCACCGAATTAAATTGAAGTTTAAATAATTATTCCTTTAATAGTTAGTCAAGAAAACTATCTTATGCTACGACGGTCTTTGTCCTACGATTTGTTGCAAGCTTGAAGGTTTTATCATCAGTTTTAGTTCCGAACTACGATTGTTATTTATATAATTTCACTTTTTTGTCATCTTTCTATATGCAGCAGGAGACATTTTCGATTTCATCTTAGATGTATACTACATCTTTTCGTAAAATAATCGTAATATCTCGGATTACCGTTTCTTGGATTAAGATCTAATTCTGTAAAACTAGTGTAAGTTAAGTAATTTAAAATTCAATCGAAGATCTGTGGCTGTTGGTCATCTATAAAA